CTTCATTACAAAAGATTTCAATATTGATCTGAATTATATAAACTGGAACGAATTATATAATCTAGAAACGATTGATAATGAATCGATGTTCTGACTTCAACCATAATTGAACTTTTGAATCAACATGCACCTTGAGAGACGGTCAGAATTAGTGAACCCAAAGCGCCCTGGCTAACCGATGTGATAAAATCGATGATGAAATTGAGAGATCAAGCATCAAGCAAATTCAAACTAACCAGGAATCCGGAGGATTTTCACACACATAAATCTTCCTGATTATACATTAGGTGTGATACGTAGAGAAGAATGAGGGTTCTTAGAATTTCAATTCAAAAGTAATGAGAGTGCAAAAGAACGCTGGAAAATTCTGCGAAATTCAAATGTTACTCCTAATGAATCCAACAAGATCCCCTCGCACCCAGTCGGATGCTAATATAATATATCATCACTTTCTTGCTATAACAGAAAATATAAACAATGATTGCTCAAAAAGAATAAATGTTTAGACTTATAATAGTTATAGAGAGAAGAATATATATTCGGATTTGAATATATAACTCCTAACGAAGTTGTAGACGTAATAGACTCTCTAAAATCGAATACAGTTTTGTGTGATGGGATCTCGAGAATCATGATGATGCATGGTTTTTTTCAGTACAACGCTCACCACTCACTCATATTATCAACCTGTGCTTAGAAGAAGAGTATTTTCTAGAATGAAGTAGAAGGAAACCGTTATTCGATCATTCAGCCTGTTAGTATCCTCCCATTTCTGTCGAAGTTCTTGGAGGAGGTGGTGTACAAACAACTTTGAAGTATTTGTATTAGTACGAACATATTGCCAGAACGTCAATCAGGCTTCAGAACTGGGTATAGCACAACATCTGTCCTAACCCCAATGTGATAATGTTATTGCAGCTTATGATAATAAGAAACTGACTGCACTTGTGAAGCTCGATTTCTCTGAAGCTTTCGATACAAGCGATCACAATTTGTTATATGCGAAATGGAAAAGCTTGGTTGCCGACAAGGTGTCCTCTGCTTTTTGAAAATTGTCTGACTAATCTTTTCCAACAAGTGATGATTAACGGACGAATGTCCTCACCGTTGCAGATTCACAAAGGTCTCCCGCAAGGATCTATACTGGGCCCACTGCAATATTTGATCTATACTGCCCAGCTTTATGATGAACCCAAATATTGCAAGGGTCATAACTACGCAGATGATAGTCAGATTCACTACGATTTTTCCCTGAATAAAGTAGATAATGTGATCCATCTAAAGAATAGTCATATGGAAAATATCGTATCACGCTCAAACGAGCATATGTTCCATATGAATCCTCAGAAATCATTGCTCATGATATTTGGCAAGAAAACTCCGTCGTCTGGAGCAGAAAAGGGATCGCTCATTAAAGTTGGTAACGTTACTCTAGCGCCCACAAAGATTGTAAAAAATCTTTGTGTATACATGGATCCATGTCTTGAATTTTTGGAGTATACCAGCACAGGTTTGCAGAAATCTTATGGTACCTTGAAACTGTATTATACCAATCGATATATTTTGCAAAATAGTTTGAAGCAAATGCTTTGTGATCAATTAATACTATCTCAGTTCAACTATTGTGACGTGGTAATCGTGGTATACGGTGACCATATTAATAATTTTCACACTTGCAGGATTCAGAAATATCAAAAAAATGGTTGTTGATATACACTAAACGTACGAGAATATGATCACGTGTCTGAGAACATTGCGAAATAGGGCTGGTTGAGAATGAATTCTCGTCGTTACCTACATTTCACTACATTTTGTCACAAAATCATTTTTGAAGAGATTTGAATCTTCCTTCGCCTACGGAGCTTCTCATGTTTATGATGATTCAGAAGACCATCTGAAGAAAATGTCAGTAAGTTCATTGAGGACAAATTTCAGAAAAATCCCCCTTGCCAAACAATTGATCATCAATTTATGATTAAACATCATATACCTCGATGAATCTATCTCTCCTCTGAACAAACAGATTATCCTTAACTCATGATAAAAAGCTAAATGTCATAATATATCTAACTCTCACATTTATCAATAGATTTTTTCGCTATTTTGTTTTCTTTCTCTTCAATACAACTTGTAGTTTTTTTGTTGTATGCTACATTGATATCAATGTTCCATCACATTAGTTGTTAGGTTAAAGTGTGAGAATAGTAGTTTTATGATGAAATCTCGCCTAATGAAGACCTATTTTCATTATTATTATCATCATTATCATTTTAGTTCATATAATTCCAGTCACGACCCTGCGGCCTCCGACGTCTCGCAGAGTCGTGCTGAATAAAATCCAGTGACTACTCCTCACAGCCTGTGAGGTGAGTAATCACTGGGGCCAAATACCGTGTGCCCTGAGTAGACGCAATGATCCAAGTATGACGGCCTTCTGCATACCACCAGCCAGGATGTGTGCCTTATCACGGCACGCTGGGATTTTCTGGATCTCCGAGAGTGGCGTGTGTCGTGTGCCACCTAGGGAGCCGATTATCAGGATGACCAATTCCACAGAATGGTCTGGATAGAGCCGGCGGAGTTCGAAGAGAAGATCTCGATATTTAGTCCGTTTCTCCTCCTCCTTCAATACGATGTTCGGTTCGGCTGGCGCCGAGAACTTGATCACGAACATCGCTTTGGTTTGATGGTCGAGGAGGACTACATCAGGCTTGTTAGCTTGTATCTGCCTGTGGGTGGAGAATGAGAAGTTCCAATAAATTCGGCACCTCTCATTCTCCACAACGGACTCAATATCCCCCGGAGGATAGGGCAGCACTGGGGTCTCGTCTATTCCGTACGAGTGCCTCAAGTGATAATAGAGCACTCACAATGCCGCATTGTGTCTATGGAAATAGGCCGAGACTGCATACACCGTGCAAGAAGACAGCAGGTGCATAATTGTCTCGGGCGCCCTGCGGCAGGCCCTGCAATTTGTGTCAGGGAACTCCATACCCATGACACGGCTACGGTAGACGAGAGTGCTGTGAACCCCATCCTGGCATGCCATGATGAACCCCTCTGTTTCCGATTTGAGCCCGCCTGACTTAAGAAAAGCGAAAGTCAGTTCTTTGGATAAGCCCCGGTCTTCAATGGCCTTGAATTAGACCGATTGCATGAGAGACAATTCATCGGCTGCTCGACGTGCTGCCCTGAAAAGAAAAGCTCCTACCCCTGCCTCTTCATGGGTTTTAACCATTTGCAGGAGGGGATCCAAACTCCTGATGACTTTGCAGGCGCCATCCAGAACCATTCTGTTATGGAGATACTCCAATCTCAAGAGTCCATGGCCACCCTGGTCTCTAGGTATTTATAACCGTGGAACGGACGAATTCGGATGCAGACTCCTATGGAGATGCATCATTCTGCGAGTACTTACGTTAAGTTGTCGCAGCTTGACTTGAGTTCACTTTATCACTCCAAATGAGTAAAGTGGGATCGGAACAGCAAGCATATTAGTAGCAGCGACTTTGTTCTTGCTCGACAGTTCTGACGACCAGATCTGTCGGAGCCGCTGCCGATACTTGCTGCGGAGAGCGTCTTTTACCCGTTGTGCCTCCTGGATATGAGTTTCCTCTACACCCAGGTAAGTGTACGTCTCTCCGGCATCCAGGTGGTGTAGGATGCTTTTGTCCACGAGCTGCGCGTCCTTGTCGTAATTCTCGCATCGTCCTCTCTTGAGATGAACCAGTGCACATTTGTCCATTCCGAATTCCATTCCAATTGCCTGAGTGTACTCCTGCACCACCCTGAGGTATTGGTCCATATCCCTTTCACCAGAGGCATAAAGTTTTAGGTCATCCACATAGAATAAGTGGGTGACCTTATGCCTCCGGTATTATTATTATTATTATTATCATTATTATCATTATTCGTGCTTCTGTATCAATAGCTATATCGTTACATGATCATTCCATGAGATAATATTATTTGATTTTGTTTTCAATATCCTCATTGAAATGAAATTCATTCTTCCGTTTGTAACAGATGCCACACCCCGTTATAACCAACGAACTTGATCATTTAAACCTACTAATATACCTCACTAGTTACAAATATCAGGATCATTCAGATGACATAATTCATGTGATGATGCTACTTACTCATTGCCTGACAATTGAGCAGATTGAGACATTGAAATAGTTATTCGAATTCAATATCAAGTACCTGTTGCGGAAAAACGAGATAATAAGATTATTGATAGAGTGACCAATAATATCAAATATCGGATCAATCAGAAGACAATTGTCACTTGGGATCAAAATTTTGTTCACTCACAATGATGATGAACATTGCAACTTTAGGTGATGATTTTTCAATTGTAGTGGTTGCAGTTGAAACGGTAATTGCATTCCTTATATCTTCCTTTGTCAGCATCAATTTTATCACTCCCACTTTGAGAGCCACAAACAAAACATTTTCTGCATGAAATTTGAAAATCAGCAGGAATAATTGATAGAATACTGCTAGCATTGATTGTATGCTGTTGTGAGATCGACTGTCTTGGCTTGACAAGATTCTTCATTCGCACTAGGCCAATTGAAAATCCATGCTCGTGCATGGAGTAGAAATCAAATGGAGTATTCACAGTTGTAGACTAGTGGTGAAAAATAGGATTTTCCATTATATCCTGCAAACAAGTCAAACTGGAATAGTTCATCTGTACCGATGTACGCTTGATATTGTCACTATAGTTGCTTGCCTGCCCTAAGTTTTAGGATTTTATTCTGAAAAATCAACAACCCACTATTTCAAATATATTTTCCATATTACTTTGAGTAAGACCAGAATAATAACAAACTACATAATTGGTTAGCTATATAGAATTTTCCTTCAACTGGAATTCCATATTCTGTATTCAACTTTCAAAATATCGAGATCTATATCGAAAGAACTCAAGAAATGACATATTTTATTATGCGGGAAATGAGTGATGTTGATATAATTTTATTTGTCATTAGATGAAGCTAGCTGGAAAGAAAGCCACAGTAGCAGGATGGGGAAGAACAAGGCATGGCCAAGCAACCGTTCCTTCAACCTTACAAGAAGTAGATGTGGAAGTGATACCAAACGATCGATGCCAAAGATGGTTCAGGGCTGCAGGAAGAAGGGAAACTATTCATGATGTTTTCCTATGCGCTGGATATAAAGATGTATGGGCCAAATTGAATCGGATGAAGATTTGTTCAAAATTAACAAACTATGCTATTTACTAAGTATTCTCATCATTGAGTAGAACGCTCATTCAATGAACAAACCTAACATTCATTAATTCAAATTTCCAAATCATCTGTGGGGCGACTTCTTGCCCATTCTTGATCACGAAAAGTACGCACACTGAAGAATTGCCGAATTCATTTTGACGAAATAACTCATAATGAAATAATAATCACCAGGTGAACAAGATTAGGAGCGGTGAATTGTGGTAAACTAGTTACTTTGTAGTTCAGTGACACGTCAGAAATTGTGCGTTCTATGATTTCTAATGTATTCGAATGATTAAGTTCGTTTCTTCATTTTCTAAATGAGGAATTCATACAATTTCATCAAATCTATGATTTTCCCATAAGATATGGTTATTTCCCGATGTATTCGTGCGCTTCTTTGAGAGACTGAGTCGATATTTCACTCAACTGTCTGAATATCATACAGTCTACACTACACACTGTTTCACCACAAACCAGATCGGTTTTTTTTACACTTCGACACGTCTTTCGTTAACTATGTTAGCATCTTCAGCAGAAGATTGAAACTAAATGCTCTATCCCAGTGGGCTACTCATATACTAGGTATATGTCCCTCCAACCGTGAATAGACAATAACCGCCAAGTAAATGTTATTCATGGTTGAGTTCACATGTTAAACTTGGTCTTATATTACTAAACTATGCAGAGAGCTAAAAGGGATAGGTCCATTATCCTTATTCATTACTATTTTACAATTCTTGAATATATCTATATGAGCTTCCATATGCATAAAATTTTTTTGAACCTGAATAAAAAAGAAACAAGGTTCGAAGAACACCTAGCACATTCGAAATATGGTCGGTTAGATGAATCGTGTGTAGCCGATCACACTTTCGATCACAATCATACCACACATATTGATAATCTCAAATTAGTTCAGCAAGTTAATAATTTTAGGGAATTAGATGCATATCAAAGCTTATAGATATGCAAGAATGGAAATAGAGTAATGAATGAGGATAATAAACCTATTCCATCTGGCCCTCTGTATACTTCAGTGATATAAGACCAAGTTTAACTTGTGAACTCAACCAGGAATTTCATCAACTTCGCGGTTATTGTCTATTCACGGTTAGGTGCAAATATACCTAGTATATAAGTAGCCCACTAGGATAGATCATTTACTTCTAATATTCTCCTGAAGATACCAACAGAGTTAGGGAAACACGTGTCGAGGTGTGAAAAAAACGGTCTGGTTAGTGATTAAACAGTGTGTAGTGTATCGTGCGAAAGGTTCCAGTCTTCGATATATTATACAGTCTGAACAAGATAAGGTTGCACAGGATGGGGATCTCGGAGATGGTAGGAGATACGAATTTCGTCAAATAGAAAAGAAGTTACGCATTCGGAAGATCATATCAGCAGCCTTCAAAGATTTTCAGAATAGTTTATATAGTTTTACAGTTATCAATAATTTGAATTTTCAGAAAATCTATTTCATGTTTTTTCTGCGGTATTATTAGAGATTCAGAAGAACTGAAAATACTTTCCAATAACCACTTTTGAAAAAATTCAACGTGGTGATATCAATTTCTCTTCGCGATGTTCCGTTTTTTTTTCAACTTTTGTTTTTTACCTACGGTCCTGATAATGTCTTCACAGATTCTGATAGCTTCTTTATCTGAATGTTACCATGTTATGTACAAGCAGGTGATATGAATATGTTCCGACCTAGTTGAATTATTCATCAATGCCTTTTTCTTCGAAATTCCAAAAGACAAATACCATCAGTCCTACTTATTCCTAATTATTCAACGTCAAACATTGATGGACAAGTTATTGAATTCTGTAAAGTGAAAAACAATTTCATTCATTGTTGCGGTTCAAATTGTTCAAATTGTTTATAACTCAACTTTGACAACATCAATAGCACCAAAATCCCTAGAAGATGTTCAGAATTGAAAACATCACTTCCTAAATAAAGATATCATCTCCTTAGAGTTGCTCCTAATCCACTTAACATTTCTGGGGTGACACTGTTATTGAATGCTTTGATAACACTATCTATTAGTTCTTCTTCGCTATCAGAATCATTCGCGTGAACAGAGTTTTCAACGTATCCCCAAAAAAAATCTATCGGTGTCCAATCAGGTGATTATGCCGGCCAAGGGAGTTTAGAATAAGTTTAGTTATCGAGGTGATTCGTGTAAGAATCCATCAACATGGAACAATTTGAAGCGCTGCACAGAATAATTAGTTTAATCTTTTTTCTACTTCTCAGTATTGAATTGAATGATCAGAAATGAGTGAAACTGATGTTTTTTTTCCACCAAAATTTCGCACATTGATGATAGCTATGAAACTAGGTCGCAACACATTCATCTCACCTTGTATAATACATGATTAAATTCCGAATGAGGAACGCTTTCAGAATCTGAGAAAATTGTATCAGGACCGTATGCACAAAACAAAAGTTGATGATGGTTCTACGAATACGGAACGTGGAATTGATATCACGACGTTGAATCCCATCAAAAGTTCATGGAAAGTATTTTTAGAGTTGCTTTATCTCTTATAATAACGTGGGGAAAGAATATGATAGATTTTCTGAAAAATCTCCTCCTTTTGATATAACTGAAAAACTATGACTAATTATGAAAATTTTTGAAGGCTGTTGGTATGACCATTCGAATTTACAACTGTTTTTCTTCTTAACCAGATTTGTATCTCCTGCCGTTTCCAAGATCCTCATGATGTGCAAGGAAAAAGACTACAGTACTGAAAGTTTCGTGGAAATCACATCGTTCGTGAAGTTTTTTCATTTCTATAGATTACGATCCAATAACGGATGGAAATATCTACTCAGTACAAATAAAATCAGGTTGAGAAAATGAACTTGAAAGTAAAGTTATTGTGTGCATAAACAAGTCGAACAGCAGTTGAAGGCTTCTTGTGAGTCAGGCTTGTTAATCTTGATAAATATTCTCATCGACTTTGACAAGTAGTATCAAAATTCAAACTATGCTAGTCAGTGACGCGCAAATATGTACGTGTACTACTCTTCAATGAAATCTGGAACATCATAGGCAGGTTTACACCATACATACCTTGTACGACTCGTTTTTGCACACAACTGTACTCCGTATTTTCTATAAAAATAAAGTCATAAGATTTGACGATTCCACGTGATAGGGCTAGTCCGTTCTTGCTCTTATTGTGCAGTTCAATCATCACCAGCAAGTTGATTTTATACGAATATATTTTTTCTTTGAACAAACTTTCGGAATGACCGTTTAATAAGGATCAACTGGGCACCCCATAGCAGTGATCTCTTCTGAGTGCGAATATCCTATCAAGAGGAGACGACGTGGTAACAAATATTCTGACTTTCCAGTATCATTTCTCAACTCATATGTGAAAATCACAAAATCAATCGAATATGATCACAAAAGTTCTCCACCCTCAGTTACAGAGTCAATGGAATATGGAAAAATTTGAATTTGTAATTTCTTGATATAGTTAACGTCCTGTATATATTGCATGATTCTGTTCCGTTTGGATACCATAGGGACAGTTGTTCAACAATTCAAGAAATTGAGGATATATGAAATTGTGTGAAACAGATCAATGAGAAATCGCTCCGAAAGATAAGCCCGACTAGAAAAATCACTCATCTCAGACTTAGAATGGACATTGCACCCAAATATCTTCGTGATCTATTGAACTAACCCTCTCAAATCCAGCATCGTTGAATTCATCATGATAGTATATTAAATGAAAGATAAGGTTTTCCATTCAAATAGCAAAGTTGAGGTCGTTTCCAGTGATTTTGCACTTATCGTGTAATGGTCAAAAACACGAATCTGATAATGAAACTGTGACCAAACCACTACTGAAAAATGTTCTCGATGAGGTACTTGCTGAAATTCCTATATAATATACTAGAGTCTCGAATCGAAAATTATATAAAATCAGATGATATTTGGATCCAGCAGACGAGAAATCGTGAAATATCCAACGAATTTGCCAATCAATCAACAATGAAACTAGAATTGTTGCTTATTTTCCAAGACAAGACAGGCACATTGCAAGACATGTTTTAGAGAGATGATTTGCTTATTTCGAAGGCAACCCTGGAGAACAGTTATGATGCAATTCAGGAAGATTCCAATGTCATGTGAGAACTCATCTGAAGAAATGATGATCATGCTACAGAAATACTCAAGAGGTTAGGTAAATATGGTTATACTTATCTGGGATATGAAACCACCTTGGAATATCGATTCAGTACTGAAGATCCTGGAAATGCGTTTTGGACGCCTGGACCGAATTATTGATGGGCTGATCACCAAAGTTGAAGCTGTACTGCCAATCAAGGAGCAAAATTTGGAAAATTTCATCAAATTTCCTTGTTATGTTATGTATTCAGTGGCCATAGCCAAGTCTTCAGTCTTGAATGAGCATTTTCTGAACCCTATACTACTCGGAGATATAATCCAAAAACTTCCAGACATGCTGAAACTTCGCTGAGGATCATACATCAAAAGAGGACATGGTGAAAGCAATTTGAGATATTTTTTTCAACAAGATTGCGACTGCATCTAGCTATGTGAAAACTCGAAGCATTTCAAAATGTAACAAATTTGAGGGGTTCTGAGAAATACTATTCGCAGCATCCTCAATAAAACAAGAGAAAACCTCAGTCATCGCAGACAATGAATGAGCAGAGTAAGTCTGCAAATACTGTGCAGTTCACGGACATGATATAAGGACTTCATCTAGCCAATAGCTCAAGACCAGACACCACTAGTTCTTCTGAGAATATCTAGTCAGCGTGAACTGAGGACCTGGTGAATGGAAATATATTGGTAATGGGCCAAGGAGCATCATATAACTTCAGCTGCATTTCAATTACAAGGCGATGAGTAAATCGACCGAAACACCTACAAAAAGACAAATTCTTCATCTTGTGATGTCTTTTCCTTTTCTCTTGGACTGATTGTGAATCGGATTATTCGAGACACGATACTACTTATTCAAGATATTTGGAAAACAGGAATTGGTTGGGATGATAGCATCAACGAAAAGCTTCACGAGACTTGAAACTGCACTAGCTTGAAAATTCCAAGGTGCTATTGAACAAGAATTTCTCATGCACTTTTGTTGATAAAATTGTATTTTGTGACGCCAGCAAAAAATCCCTAGCCAAAGAAAACATTGATGTTACCCTCATTTGAGTTTTGTGGTTGCTTTGATGGAGAATCGATTAGCCAATACCTTGATAGGAACTTTGGAGTTCAGAATTCCATGAAATTAACCTATAGACAGACACTATAGCAGTATTGTTTTGGATAAAAAGAGATGCTGGGAAACTGGGTCAGTTTGAGTCACATTGCAATGAAAAAATTCAAGAGAAGACAAACTCATCGGGTTGAATACCCTCAGAGAATGATGCAGCAGGCAACGCCACTAGAACGTACTCCAATGATAGGTCTAATCCACTGGATTTCTCAACTTGGCTGAACGGACCAGACTTCTTGTATCAAGAAAAATCGACATGGTCAGAAAAACTGATTAACAATTCAGATGGAATGTGCCCTGGGAGACGAAAATTCCCTTCTTTGAGTTTCGAGAAGAATGTTGGTTTTCCAGACGTCACTAGATTTTTCAAATGTCACGACTACTACAGAGAACATCGTGAGTAACGGGGTTCGGAAGAATCATATTGAACTAGCATCGCAGTCTGGACCATCCTTTCGATTTGTAAGTTGCTGAACTGAACGATTCAAGAATTGTATTTTCAAAAGAATTTCGAGAGAATAATGCGATCAGTATCGATAATCGACTCAAAAGGCTCTCACCAATGTTGAACGAGAAATGCATCATAGTTCTTAGTGGACGAACTTTATTATAGCCTGAAATGGAATCTTTCAGCACTATCCGCAACTCATGAAATCACTGACCTGATAAAATAAAATATACATGAGAAATGTGGTCACCATGTGATTGAAACTAATCTAAATGAAGTAAGAACGCAATACTGAGTGAGAACGAAAGATCTGCAGTAATGGATATCATTCGTGAGTTCCAGGAATGCGAGGTAATGAAAGCGAAACCCATAACACCAATAATGGGTCAGATTTCAGTTTGTGAATTACAGCAATCGTATAACAATATTCATTAACTGGAGTTGATTATTTTGGACCTCTGTTCGTTACTGTTAAACGTCCACGAGCATTTCTATGAGAGCCATTCACTTGTAAGTCGCACACTCATTGACAACAGATTCAGAAATGATGGCGATGAGACAATTGATTTCTAGAAGAGAACAGACAAGATACATCTATTCGGACAACGGGACAAACCACAGAGGAGCTGCCAAAGTATTGGAAATGCCACAAAAAGAATTCGACCAAACAAAAATCAATCAGAATATCACTAAGTTGGACATGGAGATTTTTACCTCCAGAATCACCCCATATGGCAGCTATATGGGAACGTATAAAAGGCACAGTCAAGAACACGTTCAAGATGATACTGAATGGACTAGTATTGCGTCTCGAGCTACTTCTGACATTTTTCGCAGAATGTGAAAATATTGTCAACTCCAGGCCGTTGACGGAAGTGTATATGGACCCAGATGACCTAGAGTCTTTGACACCCAACCACTTTTTTGGGAAATGACAATGATTCTAAAAACTAGCAGACCACTTCTGGAACTCTTGATAGATGATCAGAATAGACTGCAGATAAAAAACCTATGAAACTAGACGATGTGGTCATCATCGTGGAAACGAGAAAACGCTTGATTCCTCAATCGTTGAGGATTACCATAATGAATATTACGATGCTGGGTTCGTAAGAGTTATTTCGAGCAATAACGAAGTTATTGTGTTCCTAATTTCCATTCGCTCAATGAGTGTGACAGAAAAAGAAGTTTCGATATTGTGAAGTCACACCCATTCAGCATAATATGGAAATTCCGCACCCAAATATCTTCGTGATCTATTGAACTAACCCTCTCAAACCCAGCATCGTTGAATTCATCATGATAGTATAGAATGGAAAATAAGGTTTTTCATTCAAATAGCAAAGTTGAGGTCGTTTGCAGTGAAACCGGAAGTGATTGAACAACAATCGTTTCATCAAATGATGGGCAATACGGTAATAATGCAACCCATCAACTATTGAAATCTGATCTCGAATGATTCAGGAGATGCAGCACTAGCCATTCTTTGTGCACTTCTCTGTATGTACTACGTGATTCGAAGTGGTGACGGGGAACTGATGTACCTCAGAAACTGGTAAATTATCAAAAACGCCGCCTAGCGGGAGCGGTAAGAACCAATATAGCATAAATGGTTTCTTGTTTGATTCCCTTAATCATCCTTTATTAAACCAGACCCACTGAACATGATACATAACAAACATATTTTGCTGATATAAGTTTTGTGATATTGTTGAAATAACATTGCGATAATGTCCTTCTGATGAAGTATTCAACATGGTATTATGAAGTAAAACGATCATGGGATGTTGCATTAATATTGAAATTAATATTATTAGATAATTCGCGGTAGTCCAGGTCATCATCTGACTTCTCGATGATATGAAAACTACAAGAAAACATTCCTAACTCCTGGCACAGATCCAAAAGTTAGATATGTTTTTCCCGTAGTTTTTAATGTCGTTGAATGTCATCATTGTCATCTGATGACTTTGGCTACCGCGCATATCGTAATATGTTGATATCTCAGAAGGAGAGTTATGTTATTTGTGCAACGTCTTTGTTCTACCACCTCATAACGTAGCTTCCATGTATACAGGATACAAGAAGATTATATACTTCTTTCAACGGCAAAGTAACCTTGTCAACTGTCAAAGTCAATTCAATATTCCATTCCAGCCATTTTGTTCGTTGTCTATCATGGTGAAAAGGTCTCAGTGTGACCAGTGAAAATACTGATGTTCAGCTATTATCAGTAATTATCAACGTAAGTTGAGAAGTAAACAAGTCTTTGAATGAAATAAATTCGAATGAAAATACGAATGGCTCATGATACATACTGTGAAATCTAAGTAGGTTTGCCCTGCTGGAATATAGGAATAGAACCAATCTGTATCTGTATCCCATGATATGTGAAAAAGTAGGATTGTTTTCATTTTTCACGAATTACAAAAATAATGGGTGATTAAGATATCATAGCTGGAAGCAGAACATAGGTAGTCAGGATAGAATTTAAAGAGCTGTCAGGAAACTTCAAAAGATATATTTATTACCTATACCTTTTCAGAATTCGAGACAATATGGTCCAGTGAGAGATCACTGGATTATGCAGAAGTCATATACCACAGCTAGGAATGACTGGATTTATAAAGCAGAATGACTAAATCAATACTTAGAAAGATATAAGCAAAATAACTGAATTGAGACTTAGAAAGATATAGTAGTTAATCTGTCTAAAAATATCACTGTATAACTGAATCATACCTATAGTCTTCCAGCAGCAAGATCAATCCATCAACACAGTTATATTCAGGAACAAATGATCTTCTCTGTCTTTTCTGAGCAACATTCAGATGATTCTCTTGATAATTCCAGAAAAACTAGACATACCGAACCTCAAAACTTATAGAAAATGAATAGAATGTTAATATACAATATTGTTTCGATGTTTTGAGTAACATTAAATATACGTTATAAAGTGACATCGATTTCATGTAATTACTGATATATTTATATAAAATTCACCATCAACATTACATTGTATTATTCAGAAGTGGCACAGAAGCCAATTGCCGTATCTGTGACATTGTGCATCTCTCTGAATAACATCACAAAGTGACAATGTATTATAACATTCATGTTCAAGTTAAGTTGAGATAGAGTATCTTGTCACCCTCATCACATCCATCAGTATATTCATCATGAGAATCGATCTTCAATTCAGTTGGATCATAGTCAATTCATCACACAACTCAGACGAATTTAGAACACATTTCATGGCGGTGAACCAACAGATACTTATTCAGCACATTTTCGTTTGTGATATTTTTTTGTACAATCTGAAATTTGTTATGGTGTCTGAAAGAATATTTACTATTGAAAGTTTTAATACACTATAGATATCTCTACTAACTTTATTTCTTTTCAAGGGAGGCCGTGATTCATGTCAAGGCGACTCTGGAGGGCCACTAACAATGACAGTAGAAGGCAGGAAAACTCTTGTAGGTCTTGTTTCATGGGGTATCGGATGCGGTAGAGAGCATCTTCCCGGTGTTTACACCAATATACAGAAATTCGTGCCTTGGTTAGACAAAGTGATGGGATAACTTGTTCCAAAGAGTTTCGATCAGAAGATACTACTGGTTATAATATTGAAATAGTAAATAGTGAACAATGAAAGCGTTGATCACATAACGCATCAATATTCTCTCGATACCTTAATTATTATATTGTGGATAGGATTATCATGATAGTGTTTCAAAGAAATCGAAACCAATATCTGTGTATTCCTCAATTCATTGATGGATAAAATCGTCCATAACGCAAACTAAGCTTTGGATCTTTGCGTACAATCATCTGTAAATCTGTATCAGATAGTAGGTATATATTATTTATTTTTGTACCAATGAATGATGTTATGTATTTTTATGTGTGAATAAATCATCAGAATATACTTCGTTTTTTATTCCATAGATTATTAAATTCAAAGTCAGTTCAATAACTATAGAATCCACTGAACGCATATCAATCAGAATCCAACAATTTCAATATTCTGTGTTTTCTGAAGATATACAGTCAATTAGCTATGGTTTTCAAGACTAAATACAAAGTTCCAACAATTCCATCAGGAATTACTTCGATGTGAGGAACTTGACGAATCGCAACATGTACATCAGATATTCATCCTGATGGGATATCACATCAGCTATCATCTCTGAAAGACGAATTTGGAACGAAGATTTTTTTTTCATCATCGAACATTCATTCATGCTCTTTTATACAACTCCGAGAATTTTGGTGATACGAGAGTATTATCTCCACGGCACTAAAGATGAGTGCTTGTCTTTGAAAAAAAGTCTAGAATAAATATCTTCCTATATTTGACGAAGAAATATAAGTAGGTTCTCCCGATTTTTTTCCACGATAATGACAAGAAGTGGTGAAATAACTTCTATTGTGTGAGTCTTATAGAAAAATATTCAAAACGAATCAACCTTTCTGATCTGAAACTATTAATTGAGGAATATAGTTTGTATCGCCATGATTGAGATTGAATTCGGGTCAACTTCAGAAATAAGCAGCGAGAGTTTCTTTTTCGTGTAAAATTCCATCTTGCTTAGGCAACCCACAAATTCCGAATAACTTCTGGAAATCTCAGTGGAAATGAAATCGATAACTGAAAGGTGAGGTCTGAGAGATTTCTGCTTGGGACTTGAGAAAGAAATTTGCTTGGTTAGCGATATTTGGTACCTCACGATAGGAGTTCGCATTCGATCCTAATTATGATCTTTCTGAGATATTGCGGAGAGGTCTTTTACCTGGAATTGCTATCATTCCGTTTACAAATGAGAATGTCACTGTCTCTAGCCAAGCTATAAAATCGTTTGTTACTCTTGGCTCTCCTTCAAATATTTCCGAGTCAAGTGATTGTTGCGAAGGTATGCGATTTTTTTCTTACAGTTCCTGTTGCTCTGATGACTCTTTTTTTCATTTTCTCTATCTGAGGCATTTGATGTATACAAATCATCGAAAAACAAATGAACGGAAAGCTTGTTATTCAAAGAGTCAAACACATCATCCTGCATATTGTACACTGAGAAAACTCGGCCAAGTAAATTGTTTTCTTGAAAAAAAGTCGATTGTGACAAGAACATTTTCACCAACGGTAGGAAAATATGGTACTTGCAGTAGGCAAAACTATATTTCTGGAACGAAGTTTCTGCTGTAAGTGATCAGAACACTTGTTGGTATCAACCAAGTCGATATGTACTTAGAGTTCGCTAATTCTAAGTGAACACTAAACTAGTGCTAGGTTAACGAATACTCACTATTATCAAATTATTTTTCTGACATAAGATCACTTGCTCTGAGCGAACTCATCAATAAAGACAATCTATCAAGTCGATTGTTGCAGGTGACAGCTCACCTGTAGTTATAGATCTCTTTTTCGTTCGGACATCTCCGATATTATTCGAGTACCCACGCCCAACGCGATCACTGTCCAGTGTCCACGAGTCCACGGCGTCATTTCGATCTTAGCATTCGTGAAGTTAGTATACTTGCGTTTCCGCTAGTAACATTGAAAGTCATGCAAGTGCCCTTCCGAACAACTATACTATATCATATTCGTATGAGAATTCTCTGTTTGTGTGCCGTGCTCTGTTGCCGTGCTCTGAGCTGTGGGGTGTTGAGTTCTTGATCTGTTCTCTTGAAGGAGATAATGAAATACAAAACTCTTCTAGAACCTTCGATCATAAAGGTTCGTTGTTCGGAGTCTAGAACAGTACATTATTGTTTCTACATATGTACAGGATTTTTCTCCACTCCCTATGATACTCGAAGTGGAAGGAAGTGACGTTTAAAAAGTATGAAAGTTGATTCATCTTCAATGCTGGAAGGAAAAAGATAGTGAACCAGAGTGCAGTGCAGTGAGTGAGAGTACCGTTTTTCTCGGTGCATGATGCTGATCTACGCGGTATCTAGTATCTCAATATTTGTCGTCAGCCTTACCTTTTTTGTATTTTCTGGATTCATCATACCTTTATAATAAAATGTTTTGAATGCATGTGTTTTTGTCTTATTACCAAGGTTTTATCATTTTTCAGAGAACAATGGAGGTATTTTTTCATACTAGCTAATGACAAGTGAATAAGTCACTATTGGCAAGTAAATAAGTCACTGATGACTAGTAGATAAGTCACTAATGACATGGTATTAGGCCACTAATGACTAGTGAACAAGTCACTAATGACTAGTGAACAAGTCACTAATGACTAGTGAACAAGTCACTAACGACTAATGAACAAGTCACTAATGACTAGTGAACAAGTCACTAATGAAAAGTGAATGAGTTACTAATGACAATTAAATAGGTCACTGATGACAAGTGATGTGTTCACTAACCGTTATCACTCTGAAATTTAATGAAACAGGTCAATAGTGGTAAGTGTACATTTCCAGGAACACAAATATTCTTGTGGTTATTAACTTGTTTCCTTGTCCCATATAGTATACAAGTTTTTACTTGCCACTATTAAATATTCACTTAGGGTTAGTGATTTTTTTTCTCCGTGTAGAATGAAATCACCGCCCGAGCCAATACCTATCATATTTTGTCGGCAATATATAATGGCATCGAATTCAGCAGTGGTCTGGAAACCTGCAATTCTTTCAGAAGGATGGCAATTTTTCAGTCCCCATTATAAGTGAAATCAAAAACTAGACTCATTGTGATGATAATAACATCTGATTGCGACCTATTCAATGATATTTTCACGAATATTCATTGTATTCCATGAGTCATAAAGATATAATATACTTACTCCTATGTATTAATGTGAGAGCCCACAAAAGTAGTGAATACGCATACTGATTAACCTGTCTGTACTTTACAGACAACAGTGAAGTGATAGTTTTATATAATTTGATAAAGTTCAAGTCATGCATGAGGCGATAATCTATGCTGGAGTAAGTAGTTCAAATCAGCAACTACAGATTTCTTTATGAGATACTCATGGAAGGATATTACATGGTTATCTGTATTTATTCGAAAGGAGAGAAATAGAAACAAACTCAAAGTCGGTCGACCACAAAATTTAATTTAATACCCTCATGTGTGTGACTATTCTCGGCACCATGGCTATCTTCAGACACAATTGTAAGGAAGAAGAACCTGAAAATTACAAAGATCCTAAATTTAAGACAATATGTCAGCTGAGAAAGTATATATCATATTTTGGAGTGATAACTGAAAAACTGAAAATTCCCAAACAGGTATACAAGCCAAAAAAAACTTGACTGGGAGTAAGTTCAACATCGGTGAGAGAATTAAACGAGATTTGAAAATCTTTTCAAATATCTTCATCTCCATTCGGGGCAAGCCATCAGAAGGAAAGCCATATAGAGGCATAATTCTGAATGTTGATTCGATTCTGACATCTCACATGACAGTGTTGATAATTTTGTATCCAGCGGAAGAACCAAGTATGATTATGATGATATTTTGAGTGCCTTGCAAAGAATGACAATCGGTCCGTTGAATGAAGAAACAATGTTATTTGTGGAAATGTTCATTTGTGAAGTTTACTATTTGAATTCGGCCATAGCCGATATAGCGGAACTACGGTGACAGTTATTTTCCAGAAGATAGCCAACGAATGAGATGTTGCCATTAACAAAATCCTAACCGGCTATGAGGAGAGCTAACTATCGAGTGTGCATTTGAAAACAGTGTTATAGACCCATCTCACGAATTCCTGCTCGATTGGAATGTGGAAACTGGATATTGGCAGGTTTGAGTTGAAGTTCTCATGTTTGTGGGGGTGCGTATTCCTAATATCATTCATGGATATGTTCCTCTAACAAATAGTCATAGTCAACAGCAGCACCATTAAAGGTCTTCGAACAGACAAAGAGCTCTTGTAGAAGGAGATTTGTTTCGCCCTGCAGATGGTTCACAAATAACCTTTTGTGCAACAAATTGGGCTCATGTGAGGAAACGGAGAGATAACAATGGCGGCATGGGGGTAAAGACATGAAAGATCCGCCGCATACATTCGCCGCATAGAAGTATCAGAGATATATATAACTCGTTGTTTCATTTTTCGTTTTATCAAATTCACCTTCTTGCCCTGTTTGTGAAAATTTGATAAAACAAAAGAAACAACGAGTAATCCAAATCTCTGATACTTCCTTTCATCACTAAAAATTGAAAATCCTACAGGATGCATATCCCAGATCGCTGGTCAAGAAAAATGTATTCAATACCTCTGCAGCAGAAATTGTACATACTGACAATGAATAATTGTTTCAAAATAGTGTCATGGTGGCTGATGCCCCTTCAATTGATTGTTTTTATGCCTCCCTACCATATATAAAAGAAATCACACTCAAACTAACTTGAATCTTCAGAAACTTACCCAATATCAAAATTGCAACGAAACCATCTCACCTATCAGAACCATTTACTCAAAACTGAAAGTCTACTCTATTCCATGTCAAGATTGTGACAAACAATATATAGGTCAATCATAAAGGTCCTTAGCAGATAGAATCGCCTCTCACACAAGTGATAGTAGACTGCATCCGGAAAGATGTGCGTTGGCAGAACATGTAAACGATATGGATCACATAATGGATTATGGTGAGGTGAGGATTCCAGCAACCGAATCTTACAGAACTAAAAGAAATTTCAGGAAAATGGGTCA